ATATTTTAATCGGGTCTGTGGTCCATTTTCAACAATAAGATGTTTCTAGTTGGGTTATATTTTTTCCTAGCCAGAAAGTTTATGTTCTGTGCCTGTGTCGTTACAGTAGTTATTTATTATGCATAGACTATTCTGAATGGCTCGTAAAGAAACTAGAGTCAGAGTGATGTCATCCGCGTGTACTACCATTTTTTTGCTTTTTGGTGGAGTTTCCTGGGATGGATATATCCTTGATGTTCTATAGAAGAGAGAAATAGATCAAATTTCAAGACAAAAAGGGTCGGAGACAGGAGACAACCCTGTCTTACCTTAGAACTGACAGGTTTTTCCTTCGAAGAGTGTCTATTGACGTTAACTACTGTTGCGATATTTGTATGGGTTTTTATCCAACTGCTGATGTTTTTTTTTGGAAAATAACACTGTTGTCAAACGTTTTCTTCTGATTGATTGTGATGATGCTTGATTTCAATAAGTTACTATTGCTGGTGTGAATTAAAGTCATGTTATTGTGAATATTTCGGTTAAGGTTATTACATACTTGGGTGGGCTATTTGCTATTACTTTTTAATCCTATTACTTATAATCTTTATTAGGATTTTATAGTCCGTGTTGCATAATGTTATTGGCCTAAAGTCGTGTAAATTTGTGGACTGTTCTTATTTTTTACAGTAAAGCGTAATTATCCCAGTGTTAAATGAGGATGGAAACGGTCTTTATTAAATTAACCATTAGTTTCCCATTTTTACAAATTTATGTCCTATGTTATTCCAGAATTTCTTATAAAACTCATAGGAAAGGCGCAATGGCCTTGGTTTAGTGGGCATACTAGTTATAGCATTCCAGCATTCTTGTAACATTAGCACGCCAGTTAAGCTGAAGGCTGACATAGTTGTAGTAATCTCTCTTCTACAGGTGTTATATATAGAGGAAAAGTTAGTTTTCCATGACTTCTTAAAGAGAGAGCTGGATAATATAGTTTTCTTGGAGGTAATATTTTACATTTTACAAATCCAAAATAAGAATTTAAATCAGAAATATCTGTAGTAATTAAGACTAGATGCCTCACAATACATATTGATCCAAGGATATAGTGATGTGAAGGTGATGTATTTAATGCGTTTTCTTGCCTTTACCTCATTGAGAAGTCTAATGATCCCAGGTAATGACAATTTGGTAAAAGTGTGTGTTTTCTTATAGCAAAGCTACATCGGGCTATTTGCTGTGTCTACCAAGGGGAATCGGACCTTTGAGTTTAGCATTGTAAATCCGAAGACTTACCGCTCTCCCACCGGGGGACATTTGGTAAAAGAAAGTTTCAAGTTGTCATTGTCTCTCCAGTGTATGTTTCCTTATCACTCACAGTGGTGAGTTTTAAAAAGAGAGAATTTGTTTATTTTTTAGATAATTCATGACATGTTAAATGTCGATCTCTTGTGACTTCTATATGAAACCTTGCCACTAGATACTGGCCTGACTATAACTGTTAGATGTATTATGTCCATGGTTGAGAATCAGGGCTATGGATCGTGGAGGGATAAACTTACTCCTGCATATAGCCATACATCCTGAAGCAATGGTGGTATGTCTAAAGGGGTCAATGTCACACATTGAAAGAAACTCGTTCCTGAAATGGTTTGTTTTGAATTTCACGTAAAACTACATGAGGGCTATCTGCGCTAGCCGTCTCTAATTTAGCAGTGAAAGACTAGAGGGAAGTCAGCTAGTTATCACCACCCACTGCCAACTCATGGGCTACACTTTTACCAACGAATAAAGGGATTGACCGTCACATTATAACGCCCCCACGGCTGAAAGGGCGAGCATGTTTGGTGGGACAAGGATTCGAACCCGCGACCCTCAGATTGCGAGTCAAGTGCCCTAACCACCTGGCCATGCTGGGCTACTGAAATGGAGGCACCACCGTTAGAGTATAACGACGTCGGAACGGTAATATCTGAAACAAAATGAAGAGCAGTTTTCAATTTGTTCAATTCCTATATTTTACACTTGTATAACAATTAAATGACAAAATATTTTAACTTTCAAAGTTAGATCTCAAAAATCTTACCTGTACCTACCCTTCCGTGGAAGTCAAAAATGTAGCCTTCCTCCGTCGCTCACGGTGCCACTCCAGGAATTTCTCTCGAACTGTTGTTGACATGGTGTTTGGTGAATAAAAGTGGATGTCCAGTGTAACTCCCTGGTAATTACGGTTTGATTTGATGTTTAACAGATGGGGAAAATAACCCTTTTGTAGTTTTCGTAAACCAGAGGTTTTGGGGAACATGGCTAAAGCCATAGGAATAAAACTGAAGCTGTCAATGATCCTGATCTTGATACATTTTACTTCCTTTGACAGTGGTATCTAGCTTAGTTCTTTGGCAGATCAAATTATCAAAAATAAAATGCCCATTAAATCCCTTCATAGTAATGGGCGTTCACTGTATACCTCTTGTGTTCTTTGGAAAAGAGAAACTTACAAAAATTGCCACATGTTTCATACCCTTTAAATATCATTTCCTTACTGTAAAAATCATGGAACATGTAGTAATGCACTCGATTTCATGATATAAAAAATTTACCCCTTCTCCACTCTATATTTCAAAAGCGTCTGATATTAAACACAAACAAATGCACAATAATAAAACATATATAGCGACATGAGTGCTGTCCGCTATATTATCATGTAACTGGCTTGTGAAAAAAATCAACATTATTTTCGCATAACATTACACAAAAAAGCTACATTATTTATTTTAAAATAATAATAATAAAGACAAACACAGTTTATCTGAACCATACAAACATCTACCTTTCGTACGTTTGTTGAAACTAGAAGACAACGTAATTATCATTTATAATGGCAGGTACCTGATGATGACAAAACCTTGTCGAAACGTTGTACATTTACTGTCATGTTAAACT